TTAAAACTCCCAAAGGCGTCTCCCAGCACTGGCAGCCCACGTTTCTGGAGAAAAGTGCAGGCCTGCTGCATGAACACCACCACGGCATCAAGCCACATGGCCAGGTTCTGCCTCGCTCACACCTCATCCCTGGCTCCCCGCCCTGCATGGTCCCTTCTGCATCTTGTCCATCCTGCATCGTCCTGCAGCTGCTGGCAGCTTTCTCAGGCTCACTGCTGGCCCTGTGTCTGGGAGGCTGCCCTGGTGCTCACGATGAACCCTATGGAGAGGCCTGGAAGTGCTTGGGCATGCGGGCCCCCATCATCAGGAAGCAGATGTCCCAGCGAATTTGCCTGCGTCCCGCGAGGCTGGGACACACTGACAGTGATTCTCTGCTCAAGTGGAATTGCCGCCTGCAGGCCTGGTGGGACACTCTTCCTGACCTTTCACGCTTGGCTCACGTCCCCACCCAAGGAGACTTGGACCCCACAGACGACCCCTCCCTCCTCCCAATTCCTCCAGTGTGTGCACAGCATTCAGACAACTCAACATTCCATATGCCTCACAGCATTTGCTATAGTTTCATGTTATCAATCTCCTCTCTACAGCCCCAATAGTCCTAAACGCCCAGTTTTGCTTACTTATGTGATGTTATAACATATTAAGGTAATTGTGGCAATTAAAAAATAACTTGCTTTAAATTCTTTTGCTATATAGAAATAAAGATTTAAGAGGCAAAAATCCATCTATTATGTAAATATATACATTACATAATATAATGTAATTATGATTTAATAGCATATTAACAGTATTATTACATCATTAACATTACTGTTAATATTAGTAATTAGCAGCATGTAACGTACTACTTTATACACAGACACATACACACAGAATCAGACCTTCCCATCTCTGGTTTTAAAGAGCTGGATGTAATGTGCTCACTCTGGTTGTCTCCGTTACGCAGCTGGGTTCACTAAGTCACCGGGTCTGTAGACTTGGTCTGAGTTTTGAGTTTCTAGACCCAGGCTTCACCCTGGCCTGCCGCCCACCCCTCCTCTTCTCGGGGACCACACACACAGGTGGCATTTGGCCTTTTCCACACTAGCCTTCGCATCTGGTGACGGTTCTCTGTGCTTCCAGTTTGCACGTTTTCCACTGACCATCTTCCAATTAATTCCAGATTTTGTATTTTCCACTTCTAAAATGTTCATTTGGTTATTTTTTATAGATTATAATTCTCCACCTTTCCACCTGTCTTCCTACTTTATTGAACCAATGATCGCATTACCTTAAAGGCTCTGGCATCTCGGGATCCCACGCAGCCTGAGAACTTGAGGGTGTCTGTGGCCCCGGACCCCTTCTCCTGGGGTTCTGCTCCCCAAGTCCCAGCTGCTCTGACAGCTTCAGACCCCAACCTGCCTAGGGAGCCCAGAGAGACAGGGCCTTCCACTTGGTTCCTTCTCCCCCACCAACACACATGAACCACGCTGGGCCGACACCCTAAGAGAAAGGTGGGGAGTGTGGCACTCTGCCTGCCCCTCTTCAGGCTGCAGTTCAAGGCCTGCGGTGTTGGATGTGGATGCTTGCTAACACCCTTGCACAGCTGTCTTGTCCATTTCGTCACAGCCCTTATGGCTATTTGCAGCAGGAGGGTGAGTGCAACAGCAGTGGTGCCCTCACGCAGAAGCAGAAATCTTCCACATGTGGACAGGACATGTCAGGCAGAGCACTCACTAGGGGGGCAGATGCCCAGAGAGACCCCAGGCCAGTAGGAGCACAGGCCCTCGGCCCCAGGCTTGGGACCATCTGCACTCCTGGAGCAGGGCAGGGGGACACCTCGAGCTGTGAAAGAACGGTCAGCACGGGAATCACCACTTCTGAATGTTCCGCCTTTGAGCGTGTGGGAAATGGCAGCCTGCGTTAATCCACACTGCCCTGACGACCAGAGCTGAGCTCTTCTCCCTGCTGATGGCCCCAGGGCTCCTCTCCTGTGAGCCTCCACTCGCACCTGCCCCCACCTGGAAGGCAACCCAGGTGCTGGGTCAAGGTGGGGCCCTCCCAACGCTGTCCCGGCCCCAGAGAAGGCAGCTGTCTGCACCACTGCTCACGGACACCTCCCGTCTCCCTGACAGCTGCGTGGTCCACGGGAAATACACACAACAGCTCTGGGAATCTGGGAATGTGGTGTTGGCCTTGCTCTGAGCTGGTGCTGCACAATCTGTCTTCTCTCTGTTTAAAATCTCACTAACCTGACCCCATCCTTGAGGCCCAGCCCGGTTCACCTCATGAGCTCCCGTGCTTACTGTGGACCCCACAGGGAGCGATTTCCTCTACCTGCCATCTCCACAGACAGGAGCCAAAGCCAGCAGGATCTGCACCCGTGGTGCCGCACGTGGGAAGGCAGGCCCTGGTGCTATGTGCAGTCTTCACCACACCTCACACCTCACACCTCAGAACAAGGACGGCAAGGACGGCTCCACTCACACTCCTGAAGGCCGCGTGGGCGGCACCCCACCATCCCGCAAGGACTGGGTCCTCTCGAGGTGCATGCTGCACACCCTGGGATTTACTTTTAAATAGAGGAGCCTCGGAAATGAGGACAACCTCATCATTTTAAGCAATAAAAAAGAACATCCACGACATACATGCTACACGGTAATGAACACAGAGCCCACTGTGAACACTGAAAGTGTACGCACGGTAAGAGTTTGAGAAAGGGGATAATGGGATTGGATTTAAAGAAACAGCCTATCTCTGAAATCCTATGGGACAGTAAAATACAGAGCTACAAACCAAAACTCAATTTTTTTCAGGGTAGCATGAACAAGTTATTCTAAAATACGAGCGAGCACTTCTGTCCTCACTTCATGTCCTCCACCCCAGGAAGGTGAGCTCTGTGAGTCAAGCTGCTCCCTGCCAAAAGAGAACGCCCAATGTCCACCCGTCCTCGCGTCCTGAGAGAGCAGTGCTTTAAAAGATGCCCACCTGAGGTAACATTACATCACCAGAGAATCTTAAAAAGAGGGTGGAATGCAGAAGGAATCCACGGTGAGAAACAGCTCAAGAAGCTCCTGTAGAGAACACTGAGCACTAGAAATGTTGACTCAGAGAACAATACCGGGGTCCTTTGTCCTCATGGATGCAAGTCCAGGATGGCTGGGCAAGAGCAGCTGAAACAGTGCAACGTGCTCTCCTCTCCTACACCTGCCTGGGCAACTTGTTCCTCAGAACATCCCTCCAACCTACAAAACACCTCCCAGAGGAGAGAAGGCAAAAGATGACAAACCCCACTAGGAGAAGGGGGCACTCAGGATGCAAGGGGGAGTCCGCTGAAGTGAAATCCTAATGGCTCATCAGCATGTCTGATGTGAGGGGGTGAGAGGTCACCCTTGGGCAGCCGGCGACGACGGTCAGAACGTGATCGTGCTCCTGCACCCGCCAGCCTGGAAATGGACAGGCGGGCACACCATGTGCTGTGCCCCCAGCACTGCCAGGGAGCAGAGGGTTGTGCCCTACTGGCAGGACTGTGAACCTCAACAAACTTGTAGCAAAATAACTGACACCATTTAGTAAAGTTCAAGGTACATTTATGCCATTTTTGAGAAGTGACTCCACAGAAACACAACCAGCAACACACGGAGGTCACGATCTAACAAATTAAATAATTAAAAGATTATGTTATTGGAAGAAAATGGAAGTGAAACTGGTGATGATGCTTTTAGGTACAAATAACCACCACCAACCAACCAAAAGTCCAAATCAAATGGGCTGACCCCAGGGCGCTTGTCCTTTTATATCTGGAGACAGACATGGGGTCAACGAACACCCCACCCAGCCTTTGGGGGCAGCTCCATCCCAAGGCTAGCCCTGGGGCTCATCCGCGTCTGAGTCAACCTTGGCTCGTGTCGGGCTCTGAAGTGTGGCTGTGGCCAGAGGAAGGCCAGAGGGTAGGGATTCAGTTCAGTCACCGCCCATTCCTGAAGGGCACTCCAGTGGAGCCATGCCAGGCAGCACAGGCCCACCAGGTCCGCTGGGAGCTGGGGTAGAAGGGAGGCCACTGCCTCAGGTGGGCTGCTAATGGTGTGGAATGGCTCCTTGGGGAAGGGCTCTGTGCTTTCCAGAAAGAAGGGGGAAAGGAGGCAGGACCACACACTTGTCAGGAAGTTCAAAGCCATGGCCGCTCTTCAAAAGACAAAATGAAACAAAACTTCAGACCCCTCATTTAAATCTCAAAGAATGTCCTAAGGTTATTTACAAAGTGGTCTACATGAGGGTGATGTCCAGTCCACACAGAGGAAGAGAAGGGTGCACGTACGGAGGACGTGTGGAGACTGGCTTGCTCAGGCAGCGCCTTGCTAAGGGCAGCACCAGTCCTCAATCAATTAGGTTTCTCTCCTTTACATTCCTACTTACAAACTGCCATTCTCACCCCTGCCTTAGTCCGATCTGAGCGTGGAAGCAGTAAAGGACGGCCAGGGAGGCTGTGTCTACTGGAGCTGCAGAGCTGGTTCTGCGCACAGGCCCCAAGTTCGTCCTTCCTCCCACACAACTCCTGACCATCCCGCAGAAGGGACGGCCCTGGAAGGGCGAGGCAGGAAGGGGTCAGATCCAGCCCCTCCCAGGCCTGGGCTCTGCTGGGAGGAGATGGACCAGCTGTACCACATTTGTCTGGTCTACAAATGAAACAGCCTGTGCAGGACGGCACTGAGCCAGCATGTGAGCGTGGGCACTTGCAGGCACATGTGCAGGGCTTCTCACAGGGTAAACCACGGATCTGTCTGCTCCAGTTTTGGGACCAAAGACGGAAGAAGAACATGCAGAAAGGCGCAGGGGTACGTGGGTGAGGAGTCTCCAGGGGCTGGGAGTCAGAGCCCTCAGCCTGGTAGCCCACCTCCAACTCAGGACAGAACCAGCCCCTAACCTCACACGCACACTCCACCAGCACCTCGTTCAGCAGCTGGGAGAGCTGGGACAAGTCTGAACCTGAGAGGGAATCCCTGCTGGGGCGGCAGATGTACCTGAAGGAGGAGTGCTCCACGTGTACCGGAAGGGAGCCAGGGGGCCCGGGGCCTGCGGTGCCCTTCCGAATGAGCTTGCCCGTGTTGGCGTCATAGATCCGAACTTCAGGACCAGCCTGGGCCCTGGGATGGACAGGCGTCGGATGGAACACCGCGGCTGGAAGTGCACTCTGCCTGTCAGGAAAGGCTGCCGGGCTTTCCTCCCTGTGGGACGAGAACGAGGCCATGAGGAAGCACCGGAACTGACGCCCAGCAGCCACCACTCAGGCCTGAAGTGGCATCTCCCTCCATCTGAGGCGAGAGCCTGCGCAGGTGAAGACACGACTCTTCTTAAATTCTAGGGCCCAACCCCAGTGCGAAAGCGACCCAAGGTGCTGCGGAGAAACAGGCCTGCGGGGACCTCAGCATGGAGTCTGCATCTGTTGCTTCTCTGATATCTAGTGCAGGACGTCACCTCTAAAGACTATACTCAAACTCGACAAACAGCAGGAAGCACTTTTCAAGCCTTTCTCAACAGAAATAGGCATTCCCGCTTTTCGCCACTGTCCCAACATGTGGGACAACTCCCTCCCACAACTGTGCAGAAGATGGGACCCCCTCTTTCCCCTTGCCTCCCCTTTGAGCTTTTACACTCTGCCACCTGGCCCCATTCTCCACCCGTGTCCCTCGCTGTCAGCCTCCATAAAACCTTCGTGCAGTTTATGTGACTACCTCCCAGTCCTGAAAGAAACACACACAAACTGATCCACTGCTAAAAGCCAGCTCCGCTGTCAGAAGAAAAAGCAGGTCTCTTCCCTAGGTGATGATGTCCCACAGGTGCTTCTGAAGACAAGCTGTGCTGGGGGAGCTCGGAGTAATGGTAGGGAGAGCGGCAGGGGGGCAGGTGAGAGGCCTCTGGAGAGGGAGGCAGTAGCCTGTGGGCACCGGCAGACCTGGGCCCTTGGAGCCTCCCTTTTCTCACCTGCACATGGGGACGACATGGGGATGACAAACCCAGCCTGGGGTGGGCACAGCGATCACACAAGACAACCTGCACAGTGCTGCGAGCAGGAGGCTGGCGGCGGAGGTCAGCTTCTAGGATGAGACAGGCCTGCCCAGGACTGAGGGCGCAGGCACTCCGCGGGACCCGCCACAGGCATGGTGCTCACCTCTGTGCTCTGCCGTAGTCGTCCCTGAGCGGGAAGAGCTGCTCCTCCACCTTGTCCCACCGCTCCAGGCAGCTCCACAGCCAGTCGGGGTTGACCACGTGCAGCTGCCCGCACTCCTGGGCCTGGCGCACCTTCTCCGTGCCTGCGATCAAACAACTGCTTCAGTTCAGCTGCTGTCGAGCGAACACTATGCCGGGGCCCTGTTAGTCAGGCAGGCGGGAGAAGGACTGGGACGCTGTCTGGGTCCAGGAGGGGCAGCCTCGCAGCAGTGGAAGGAGGTCAGACGCGTGGGGGCAACGTGTGTAATCACCCAGGACTCTCGGTGAGCCCCTGCTGGCACAACTCCCGTATCTCAGCGTCTACTCCAGAGCCTCAGCTCTGGGCTTCACTGCTCATCAGCTCCTGCCTGCCCTCCCTCGGCAGCCTCCAGGCTCTTCCCCTGGAGCACTGGGCTTCCGTCTCCTGGGATGTCCCACAAAGCATGGGGGGAGATGCTGTGTGGTCTCACTGGACGCAGTGTGATGCCCACAGACACGCTGGCCAGAGAACAGAGAGGGGAGTGATGTGGATGACAGATGAGCCCGGGATCCCAAAGCCAAGTACTCTAGCTCCAGGCACCCTGACAGGTGAGTTGTGGCGCCTCCTGTTTCTACAGGACGTTTTCCCGCTGCCTCCACACGCATCCTGGTGTGAAGCCCCAAAAGCCTGAGCCACACCCTCACCTCCTCTGCACCCTGTTGCCTTCTGCCCTAGAGCCGCCATTTCTCACTCTTCCCCAAGACCACGTGCTTGGCGTTCCTAAAAGCTCCTTCTATCACTGCCACCTGCTGAGAAACTCACCACAATATGCTTTTCTTGCTGCACCGAGTCTCAGGTCCTCTGCTGGACATTCAAAGCCCCCATCCCAGCTCCCCTCTGCCAAGATCACATTGTTACCCCACAAGCCTGCCATCTCCCATCCAGCAACAAGGCCAGGGATGGAATCCAGGCAGGGGAGACCCACAGCCAGGTCGGGTGTGCAAGCAGTACAAGTGGGATGGGAACAGAGGTGCGGGTACAGTGCCTGACGTGCACGCAGCTGCATCTTTTCAAATGTCCTTAGTTGTCAGGTGAGGACAGCATCCTGTTCACCACAAGCTTAGGGAGGACCATGCTGCATCATGACCACGAGAACACAAAGGCCAGGCCAGCTGTTGTTCCTGTCATCAAACACGTGTCTACAGGCGAATGAGCAGCAACGTCAGGATCTAGTGGGACGACTAAAGGGCAGGCACCTAGGCAGGGGACCAGGACCAGGTGGATATATTCACTGACCTCAGAGACTCCTTCCTTGCACTGCCCGCTGCTCAGGAGAGAGCTAACTCGCTGCATACAAGGATCATTTTAGGCTGCCCCTTACCTCCCAATGAGAACCTTTCAACATTTCACACTGAGACGGAAACTTCTGTTACCCCTTCACGCAAAAGCTTTTCTGAGCACATGCGTGTCATGTGCCACATGGCACACAGGGGACCCATGAGTCAAGCACACCCATGCGTGGCATTGCAGAGCCTGCCCTGTGCCCTGGGGCAGTCATCCAGAGCCCAAGCTCAGGGGGTGCGGCACAGGAGGATGAGGGGGCCCACAGCAGTCTTTGGGGAAATGTGAAACTGGTCATGAGGAGCATTCTTAAACAGCAATGCAGTTGGTTTTTTTTTAAGCAACTAGGCATAAGCCTTCCTTTACGACCTGCCCATCACAGAGGGGCTGCTTTACTCGGCTGCAAGCACTGGAGTCTGAGTGTCCAAGGTGGATTTTTCTGTAACAAGGCAACAGGCCCATCCTTATTTTTCCAACTTCAACCATTTCTGTTGTGTGTTGCTCCAGCTGAAATCTTTGCATTCCGCTTTTTAATTTGATCTTTTACCATCTAGACTGAGTGTCCTGATAATTATGTAATTGGCCCTTAATCCCTCCTTCATAAACTCACAATAGTCCGTTCCCCTCCCACGAATGGCTCGCACTACGGTGGGAGATCCTGACTTTACACACAGCAAGTAGGGGCAGCTGTCCAAGCAACTTGATGCTGTACCGACAACATGCAACCAACACGCACAGGAGAGCATGCTCGTGCATGTAAAGCCCATACGGCACCCAGAAAAGCAGTCAAATTAGACTCTCACCAATGCATAAGCATCAATAAGCTCTTAAAAGGCAGTGATTCAGGAAAATGCTTCGGAAAATCCAATGTGAAATCAGCAGCCATGCTGCTCTGTGCGAGGAGCCCCGCAGGTCATCCTTGTTCCCCCACAGGCAGCACGGGGCAGGGAGGGACGGGGAACCCCGCAGGCCACCTTTGTCCTCTCATGGGCAGCACGGGGCAGGGAGGGAGGGGGAGCCCTGCAGGCCACCCTTGTCCCCTCACAGGAAGCACAGGGTAGGGAGGGAGGGGAGGACTCACCTGCCCGCGCTGCGACCAAGTGGGTGGCTCTGTTGGGGTCGTTGGGGTCCAGCACCAGCTGAGTGAGGATCTTCGCTCCGAGGGCCGTGGCGTGGTAATGCTCCCGGGTCTTCTCTATCGGGAAGTTTGTTGGGTGCAGCCCACTAAATATTATGGCGACGTCTGCCAACACTTTGCTCTTGAGCTCCGGGACGATCTTCCGGATGTCAGGGGCCTCCTGGATCTCCCCACTGAGGAAGCGGTCGTACTTGGCGTAGTAGTCGGAGTGCACGCGGGCAAGGATCTCTTCCAGGTAGACCAGGTGGTCGTCGTCATCGGTGTCCTCCTCCTCCTCCTCCTCCTCCTCCACGCTCTGGTCCAGGGACTCGCCCACTGTGATACCCGACTGCTCGCTGTTCTGGGATTCCGTCTCGGCCTCCTTCCTGTCGGCACAGCCACCCCCGAGCCCGCAGAGGCTGTCCCGCTCGCTGTCCTCTGGCATGTCTGGATGGGCACTGGGCGTGGACTCTCCGCAGTGATTTGCTCCTGCAGGCCTGTCACCTCCTGTGCCCGGGAGGCCGCCCTGCGGCACCACTTTGCTGGCATCTCGTGTGGCTTTAGGCTTTTTCCGGCCCCTCTTCTCCCCACTTTCGCCATCAGAGGCGGCGGAGGACGACTGACCCTCTGACTCGCTGCTGCTCTCACTGTCACTGGATAAGTCAAAGTCCAGGTCAGCGCCCGCCGTGCCCTGAGCGGGCCGCTTTTCAGGCAATGTCCGACTCTGCTGTGGAGCACTCGCTGGGGGACCCCTACCATCGGCCAAGGGGGTGCGGGTAGCAGGCCGGGTGCCCCTCTCCTCCTCCTGACAGGGCAAGGGCCAGTCCCCCCGCAGAGGAGCGCCTCCATTGAGTTCCCTGGAGGGCTTCCCAAGCCCGTTACTCTGCTCGACCCCAGAAACCTGCCTTCCTTCCTCAGGGTCCTTGACAGACGGAGCTTGCTCTGTGAGCTCGGCGCCTTTGGGAGAGTGATTCACTGCGTATGCACACAAAAGGAAAGGCCACTGTTACTTACTGTGAAATGTGGAAGCAGTCTCGTGACCAGCCTCACCCACACTCCAGATCTGGGGTGGGAGACTTCTGCCGGCAAGGGCCAGAGAGCAAGTTCTTCAGGTTTGGGGGCCACGTACTTTTGGTTTCTACACGACTTAAAAATGCACTCGACACTCCCAGGTTACAGGCTACGGTCAGACAGCAGCCGCCCCGCTTCGCTCCTGCAGGCCCCACTTCTCTTCCCAGATCTCTAAGTTCTACATTAGTGACTGCAGCAATTACTGTAGGCCTCAAAATATCCTATTTAAAAACTAAAGATCATCTGAAACACTAAACCAAACCTTTACATTTTCTTCACAGACTTTGGCTTCACGCTGCCTGACAGGTTAGACCTGGTGGTTCCTCAGGCTCCAGGGCACGGCATCCGTCATCCACATGCTGGAGCCTCTATACTCGTCTACTCTCTCCAAAGAACCTACAGCCAAAGTCCTAGCGTCGTGCTTGACTTTAAGCAGAACTGGAGTGTAGTATTCATATTATTAAATTAAGCAGTATTGTTTAATCTTTGCTCAACCGGAAAAGTGTTTAGGTTAGTACTATTTAAAAAAAAAACCCAAATTGACACCAAATAATATCATCCTGTTCAACACAACATAAATAAACCCAACCACCCCCGTAACTACTGAAAGATAAACAAAGCGCATCTTCAGTTTCCAGCAGCCACAATAGAGAGGAGCAACAGAGGAGCAAAGAGTGAAGCCCACGTGAACTCTCTCTCCGCTGACCAGGAGGTCACCCACCTCTCCTTCTCGCCTGAGACTCCCGGGGCCCAGACGGAGCATTGATGTCTCCTATGCCCTGGAAGTACACGTATTTCTTCACGGTGATCAGATTGGGGGCAAACTTCCAGACATCTTCTCGGTCATCAATAATGCAAACCATTGAGTCTCCACAAGGAAAGAGATTTCTAGAAGTAAAAATGTATCAGAACTAGTAATACCATTTACAAAAAATAATCATCAATTAAAAGTCATGATAATTTTTATACATAACCAGTAAATAACAGATTAATCAGAAACAGATACAAACTACTCTGAGGGGCTTTTCTTTAGCTCACATTTAAACTCTCAAAGTTTCCAGAGAAAGTGCCATTGAAACAGTCACACTCTTCTCCACTGTCCCTGATATTCCTGAAAGCAGCAGTCAGCACACTTTCCTTAAAGGCCAGGGAATAAATGGTTGTGTCTGGGGGCACTGCCGTGGTCCCAGCAAAGCCACAGGGCCAGTACTAAATAAGTGGGTGTGGCCACGTCCCTGCATGACTTTATTTACAAACACAAGTAATGGGCACCTGCTTCCACAGGTGAGGGCCTTCAGTTATCGGCAGGGACTATGACCTTACTCAAATCTCAGCTGGTTGAGATAACCCACCGTCTCCTAGTGTACCTACATGGCATCTTTTCAAGTCCAAAAAAGTGACTGCTATATTTCCAAAAGCTGTTAGGGCATAGGGGGTGAGCAGAAATGTTAACAAGGGTCCAAAAAGCCATCTAAGGGATGCAGGCATGCTCTGTGACCCTCACGTGTGAAATTCAATTTCTGTCCACAACTCAGATTTAGAGAGGCTGGCTCGTAGCATTCAAAATTCAGAGTGATCAGTGCTTCTTGCCTGTCTTCGAGGATCAGGAAGTAAACCCAGGAGAAAGGCCTCCACGTTTAGGTTCCCCAGCTGCTAATAAAGGCCACAACTACCCAGAAAAAAATGCTCGTGTGCCCAAAATTTCTATTAGTGTGTTTGCCATAGGTGAAACACAGGGTACCTAAAATAACTTACAATTAGTGCTTCTGGCACATTTAATTCCAGACGAGGGGGAGAAAACCCACACCACCTCCAGACTGGGGAAGCAGGCCCGATTGCCTGTGTCCACCGAGACCAGCAACCCTCGCCGTGTCTGACGGCGAGCAGGCTCCTTCTTCTCTTTTGGGTAGCCTTTCCCTTTAATAAACCACTAACACTGTCTCTTTTTCCTTTGTCCTCATCAGTCTGCTCCCTCTGACACTAACCAGCAAACACGAGGTCGTTTTCTGAAATAAATCCTTTCAGACTCTCTTCTTAGTTCATATGGACTTGAATAGGTCTCCGTCTGCGAGAACACCCTAAATCTGACCACGAAATGTTAGCTGAGGGTGGCCAACACCAGCCAAAAGGCCACCAAGGCCACAGCTGTTATTGTCCAAGTCTCATTAGGAATCAACATCTGTGAAAACAAGTTATGTCTGATACAGTAACATAATGGGCGGACCTACCCTTCTGGGTAGAAATGGGGAAATCCCTTGTACAGAGCAAGCCAGAGATTTCCAAGAATGTAAAACAGCCTTTTGATCAGTGGTGGGAGAGCCCCCTCCTAAAAGCAGAGAGGACAGGAAGGGGCAGACGGTGATGGGGACGTGAAACAGGCAGAGTCGGCAGAAGGCACTGTGACTTGGGGTTTTACAACTCACTAGGAGGATTCAAGCATACAAGTTTCTAAGGAAATATAAACCTGAGATGCCAACACCAATGCCAAAAACACCTTCTTTAAACTCGCGACTCAGCCAGAGCGCCCGCCTTGCACTGGGGGATGCCCTGGGGGCCCTTCTGCCCAGACTGCCTCTCCACTGGTCATTTTCCATTTCCTATGTCCCCCACCCCAGCCCTGCCCTCAGCTCCCTCGTCCAATGCCCTGTTCCCTTGGGTTCCGGCCTGAGTCCCCCAGAGCCTGGACATTCAGGGAGAAGCAGGGAGGAAGGGGTCTGGTTTGGAAGCACAGCAGGCTCCCTGAGAAACGGGGAGAACAAGCACAGAATTACTGCTCTGAGGTCCGAAGCGCAGTCCTCATAGCGAGAATTAAGAGTGAGCTTCAGTGGTAAACACACCAGGTACATACCTAAGGTTGCCTGTTTTAGAAAACGGGTCAATACATTCGTCCCTCGACAATATTCGATGAGAAAAAAGCTTCTTCTCAGGATCTAAGAAGCCTTTGAAAAGAAAACAGACAGGTCACATGTCTAAGATGCACTGCCAGCGCGCTGCGCACACGGTCAGCCTCTCTGTTTCCGTATAACATCAGAGACTTGGAACATCACATGTCAGCATCAGATACATCTCTCTTTTCAGGTGAGACCGTCACTCACTTCTGGTTCCTTTTCTCTTATTTTAACGTGTTTAAGGGCATACCCTCGTTAAACGTTTAATAAATTTAACATTACCTGGAATTTTGCTAAGAACAGAAGATACAGGATGAACAAAGCTCAGTATCACTTCCCTAGGAAGCTTAGAGTCTGCGGGGCAATAAACACAGGAACACATAGTTTCCACCCACAATAAACATGTGAACAAATAGTTTCCAGCCACACGCTGTGTACAGGGGGCCAGGATCCAAAAGGAGCCCAGAGACTGGAGCAGAGGTGGCAGACCCGAGCTGGGAGCTGAATTCTGGCTGTGCCACCACGTGCAGTCACCCTGTACCTTCAGTCACTTGTGAAGTGGAGGGGGAGCTGGACACCTTGGCAGCACTTTTAAACTCATGCTCACAGTATAATCTGGGCTTTCTCAAGACTTTTAGGTTAAATCCCATTAGTGTTGCCTACACACAGACACAGTAGCACAGCTTCCTGTCGTGACGTGTGTCCCCACCATGTTTAGTCGCCACGTTCATCAGACTGGCGGCCCGTGAGCGACTCCCTGTGCCATCCACACCCTGCACACCCTCTGCAACAGGCTGTCTTACAAGTCACCAATCAAATACACAGGTTTTATTGATTTCTACTATTGGCTGAAATACACACACCACCATTAAAACAAGTCTGTGCACCTCAAAGTCCTCTCGCAAGCTGTGCCACGAGTACTGCCCTGGGGGTCCATGTGGTCTCCCTGGGGACCACTCTATACAGTAACCTCCAGATGCTTATATCCTTGGGATTACCGAGTCATGAGCACTTCATTAACAGAAAATGCTCGCTCTTACAGAATGTAATTCTTTGTGAACAGTGAAGCTGCTCAGTGGCTAAACCTAAAATTTATTAATACAATTTAGTGTTTCTACAATAAATGAAAAGCACCTAAACCTCTTTACAGTTCCATCCTAATCATACTAAAAATACACATTCTGTGAAGATGGTAACTTCCAAAATCAAAAGTGGATAGAGAGAGGAAGCTATAGAAAAACCACGGCTGTCAAAAAGACCGCGGTCAGGGACCAGTGAAAGCCTGGGCCTCCCGCTGTCGTCTGTGTGAATTATCACAGGACCTGGACAATCTGTTGATCCCTTCCAATGCTATGATCACGTGTAGATGCCAAGCTCAAACTCCTTGAAGCCCACCACACAGGGATATTCCCCCCCCGCCCCGCCCCCAGCCGTCTCTCAAAGCCACGCAGGGCGTCCATCCTGAGTGATGACTTTCTCCCAAGTCCCCTCCGTGTGTGAAACATCCTCGGTCTTGACGTCCCAGCCAGTACTGGGGGGCAGCCACAGAGCAGCCATGGGTCGGGTCCCCAGAACACAGTGCTGTTCTGCTGAGGGTCTCTGCAGCCCCCTGACTGGGACACTGGCCTGCAGCTGCCTTGTGATGGCTTTGTCTGGACACGGTGGAACATGGGAAGTCTAAAGTACATTTCAAAGCCTGAAATGGAGAAGGCTCAGCTGCCCGCAGGCAGGCCTTGCTCACAACAGCCTCGGGAGGGCACGCTCCACCCCAGGTCCACGGGCTGTGCAGATGTCTTCCTAACCTTACTCCAGGGACCCCTCCCCGGGCACCTCCGTCTCAGGTAGCATTACCTTCACTAGAACTCCACTGCATTGCTAATCAAGTCCTAGAGAGAGGCAAAGGTTCCAGAGGGGAAGGCCCGAGCCATCACTTGGCCCAGGGCTAACCCTGGGGTCTGCTTCACAGGGGGTGCTGCTTATTCACCGGTACGAGAATGCTAGAAAGTAGCTCCTTTAGTCTTCAGATCACATCTCCCAGGCAGCCACACAGCAGGCATATAAACCTACTAAAGGCAGGTATGTTGACTTTAGTTACAAGATGAATTAACTTTAACATGCTGCTTACGTGTTCATGATTAAAGTTTCCTATAAAGGCACTAAATGCTAAAGGGGGATTCAAAATTTCCAAGTTCATTTCTCCATCAACAAGAAAAGACCAAGAGTAACCTGTAAAGACATCTGAATTTGAAAGTACTTAATTTAACTACATTGTGACTAATACTAAGGAGCTGTGGCCATATATAATATGATGCGAGTGTCAATGTCCACGAATGGGTCAGAGAAGCCGGAGCCCAACTGTCCCCGGGCAGGGTGAAGCCCATCCTCTACACTCCATCCTCATCCAGAGCTGTCACCAGTGGGCAATGCTGTGTGGCCAAGGGATTCCTGTGCACACATGCTGCACGCACACGGCTGGCACAGCAGCTCAGAGTCTATACCAAGACAAGGCTCAGGCTGCAGCATACATTGCTCACTCCCAGACAGGAGCTACCCCTTCTGTCTGTACTTCAAGCGTTAAGTGCAAACAAGCATGAGCAACATGGCTCCAGAACTATTTCCAAACCAATTAATAAAATATTTTAAGCACACTTATATAGTAAGTTTCTACTTTCCCACATATCTGTGGTCCTGACCAACTTCCAAACTGGCCTGCAGTGTGCACCTGACCAGACAGCAGCCTGCCGTTTGGACTGGAACATGTCCAGTGACGGCCTGTAGGGTCCCTGCAGAGTGGGGAGCACCCTCCCAGGAGGTGAGGGGCTCAGCCATTCTTGTCTACCTGTGCCCTGCACAGACTGAATCTTGCCTTGCCACCCCCAACTGCCAGCTGTAACTAATACTGAAATTTAGTTTGGGAGAGCTTCTTGATCTTTTTCTTCATCTTCCAACAAACACCATTGAAAATAAGAAAAAAACCAAACCCACCGTCAACACCATTTAAGTGTTTCAGAGCCACACAATGCTCAATTCAGTCAGGATAACTGAACAGCATCAGAGCCACTCACCTGCGATCGTGTGCGCATACAGCCGGCTGCCAAAAGTGAAGACGTGCAGCTCGTACAACTTGGCGGTCTTCTCCAGGAACTCCTTGCAGTGCGGACGCAAACGGGTGTGCAGCATCGGCTCGCCCCGGCCCAGCTGGAAGTGAAATATGCCCTGAAAAGAACGGGGGTGCCCAGTCAGAAGGAAGGAGCCACGGAGACAGCACTTCCACACCCTGCCCCCCAAAGCTGCACATACACACTCTACTGTCACAGACGAGGAGTCGATTTACAGTGTACTAAACTCACGCAGCACAATGCTTTCCTTACACGAACTCTACGACAGTGAGCGCGGAATCTTCTGCTGTGGCAACTACCTACGGTAACTACCAATGACAACCACGGCAACCTCCTATGAAATCACAACCACCAGCTATGGTAACTACCAAAGACAAACATGACAACTACCTATGGTAACTACCAATGACAACCATGGTAACTACCTGTGAAATCAGAGTAACTACCAAAGGTAACACCTTATGGTAACTACCTATGATAACTACGGCAACTATCTATTATAACCATGGTAACCCCCTATGACAGCGAACCACAGTATGACTACCTATGATAATACAGGAACTCCCTATGGAAACTACCCATGATAACTATGGTATCTTAGTCGTCTAAGGAGAACTAAGGTAGCCAGCCAGTTGCTGTGGGCTTCAGCAAGGGGCTATGCCGACAGCAGCACACCCTCCTCCTTCCTGACAGTCTGTCTGATGATGGATAAAGCGGTATCTGAGTGACGTCACACACGTCTTTGTTTCTTCAAACACTAGCACTGTCAAGGAACAGAGACACAGCAGACTGCTTAGAAGAGATCTCCAGTAATCTACTGACAGTGTCTTCCTGAGTTACTGATGAAAGGAAACCAAACAGTCCCACATAACCTAGCCTAACTCATGGACTAGGTGAAGACAGTTTTATTAACTCACACCCACAACACAAACGCTGAAACAGTATTAGAGACCATCTTTAGGAGACAGATGAAATTAGTAGTAAAGCATACCTCACTTTATTGTGCTTCACAGATACTGCATATTTTACATCTCCGAGGTATGTCTGTACCGACCTGCTTGCACACGATTAACAAGCAAATAAGTTTTCTTTCCTTAGGAAGTTACACTCTGAACATTTTCAGCCTGTTTATCAATTTTCTCAGTAAAAATGCTCCATTTTTGTTTTTTTTTGAGGAAGATTAGCCCTGAGCTAACATCTGCTGCCAATCCTCCTCTTTTTGCTGAGGAAGACTGGCCCTGAGCTAACATCTGTGCCCATCTTCCTCCAGTTTATATGTGGGTTGCCTACCACAGCACGGCTTGCCAAGCAGTGCCATGTCTACACCTGGGATCCGAACCAGCGAACCCCTGGCCACCGAAGTGGAATGTGCGCACTTAACTGCTGCGCCACCGGGCCAACCCCACTCAGTAAAAACGCTCTAAAGAACTGAAGAAGAAAGGCACAACCCTCTAGGCCTATTGAATTTCTCACCAGCTCTAAATCAGTTAAACCCCTCAGGGGCCATCCTTTTAAAACATTTAGGAGCATGAAATTTTATAAATAATTTCACCCTACTCAACAGTTAAAAAGTGCAAAACTTGCAACATAAACATCCTTAAAAACACAAGTTCAGATCTCCAAAGTTAAGAAATAAATACGTCTTTCTAGATGTCTCCAGCAGGAATCCGGGTTCAGGAGCCATGACATGTGGTCGGGCACTCCTGAGTATCAGGCAGAGCCCTGTAATTACGCTGTTAACGAGCCCAGCAGAGGAGCCTGGGCCCGCGGGCAGAGGTGCACTAAAGCCAGCAAGAGCAGCTGAGGACCATCCAAGCAGAAGCGCAGACACCTTCACCTTCCAGACTACACAGGCTGAGAAACAGGCGTGTTCTAACTCGTTCAAAGTGTCTCATAAACCAATTAAAAATGCCCAACTTCAAAGGCACAATAAAACCCAGAAACAGCTGTGGCAATATACGCTGGTACATACGCGTCCAAACTACTGCATAAAGTCCTCGAACTCTTTAAGATACCGAGTAAGCAGAGTAGTTGTTATGAATGAAACAAACAAAGTATTTACTACCAGCCTACATCACACAAAAGAACACTGTATATTCCCTGCAAGACCCCATGACATACACAAATGACTAATACAACTAAAAAATGTAAACTGTTTTGTGGGTGAGGAATGAATTTCAGCCATAAGAAGAAAATTCACTGCCCACCACAACTACTGAATCATCTCCACAGCACTGATGATGCAAGTTAAAGTAAAGCGATTTTTACGACATTAGGGACTTATGCAGATGATTTGTACGTACGTCTGTATCAGCTGATTTACAGACTAAGCCAAACGAAAATGACAAAATTTCTTTCAGATAAAGTTTGTAACAAAACTGATGACACGTGGTTGTCAATGAATTGTCTTCACCAGACAGCTCCTGTTACTATCACACTGTCAACCAGGGGTCGCACCCTCGAGGGGCTTTGGGGCAATGGCCCTGCTGGCCTTGGCTGCACTGCCTCCTGTGCCCAGCCCGGCTGCAGTCCTCTTTCCCCAGAGTACACCTTCTCGCTGTGCTCGGTCACAATTAGGAATTGGTGAGATCTGTAGATGCTGAAAACCCAAGATCTAGCACGAGTCTATGGGCTAAAAAGTGATGACCTTAGTGGTGAGGCCTCGCTAGTTAATGAGAGTATAAGCCGCACCAGCCTCCCTTTGGAGAGCCGTTTGTAACAGGCACTCAAAGCCTTCTGAAATGCCCAGAAATCCAACTTCTTGGGCTCTGTACTGAAGACAGAGTTGAAATGTGGGAAAGTTTTAAGTGTCCTTAAATAGGGTTCCGTCCTTGACCCCTTCATTTCTCTCCATCTCCGTGGAGAATCCATGCAAGGTGACACCCAGCCTTTATCCCGAGCCCACATCTCTCAGGTACAGACCCAGGTACCCACCTGCACCTCCCACCCCGAGTATTCCAGATATTCCCGGAGGGCATCCAAAATCAGCTCGTCTTCTCCACCAACACCATTCCTCCTTTGCCCTCCACTCTACCTTGAGAGGGAGGAACAACAAATTCCAGGTCTCAGAATTCTAAACCCTGCCAACTAACACGGCCACGTGTGGACCCAGCACACAAGGGGAGCCAGTGAATGAGGAGGTGAGCGTGAGCTGGTGGTACCTCCTGACGAGGACCAGCATGGAGGCCCCCTGCACCCCCTCAGAGTACAGGCCCACGGCGGAGCCCAGGCAGACGGGGCTGATAGGGAAGGAGTCTGCAGCTCCTACAGAAGCCCCCAAATGTCACCGAGGCCCCTCACTTTGTTTGACATCTGCTGGCAGTGCTGCTCCGTCGTGTGGATCAAGGTCTGGTCCAAGTCGACCATGAGCACCAGCTTTCTGTTTCGATGCAGTCGTTGCTGGTCTTCCCTTCCTAGCTGCTCAGCTTGCTGAAGTTAAAAAGAAAAACAACAAAGTAAGTATATTTGGATCCAAAATAAGGTGATTAAGAAAAACAAAAAGAAGCTGAGAGATATCCCTCACCACCCTCTGTACCATCTTCCCTGCCAGCTGAACCCACTGCGTGTTTACACACCCATGGGGCCATGGCAGGCACACCCCAGCTGCCCAGAGCCAGTGCCATTTGCCCCAAACCACTCTACGGCACTCTGACCGGAGCAGGTGCAGCAGCAGGTTGGGAAAGAAAGAGAGACAAGCTGCAGCCTTGGGTTTTGCTGGAAGACAACACATTCCACAAAAACCATCCAACCCCCCAGTGGTTATCTTAGAAATAACGACCACAGCACATCTGACATTTTCCCCAAACGTTCCGTAGATGCTCCCCACTGTCCCCAGGAAACGTCTTCTCAAACACCTGGGGACTTACCTCGGAGCTCACCATCAGCTCAGGGACACTGTGCACCATGGACACGGTGGCCGTGGACAGCGGCACCTGCTGCTTCCCGTTCTTGCTCTGCAACCTGTGGACGCGAGAAGGGGTGAGATGGAGGCCTGGAGCTGATGCACTGCATCAGGAAGCACACTGAACTGAAAGTGACAGGACTTCAATTCACACTCTAGTTGATGTGTACTGCTAGCTGAGCGCAGAATTTGACTGCTGACCCCCGCTAAAATATCCTCTGCTGTCTGAAAACAGGAAAACTGGGAAAAACCTAAGTAACAGTCACATTCACAAAGTTCTCTGAAAACAAACTGATGGTCACAATGAAACAGAGAGGCCCTCAAACTGAAAACACAGAAGGGTCCCCAGGCCTGACAGGTGGAAATGAGGGTAACCCGAGCAGCGGGTGTGGGACGGGGGCTGGGGGATCGTGAAGTACAGGCCGCATTCTGGGACGGCCACTCCAGACATTAAGGGATGCACAGTCTGCTCGGCTGGGACAAGAAACAAATCTTCACCCACCAGCACTTTCCTCCCACACCTGGGGTGAGCCTCAGACATAACTCAGTGCTTTTAGAACTGAAAGAAATAAAGCCAGAAGCTGACTGACTGCTCATGGCCAGATATGGGAAGGGGTGTCTGCCATGTGCAATTGCAGTTGGGTTCCTTACACTCCCCTCGCCCTGCCCTCAAACACCGCATCTCTTGCACGCACAGTCATCTTATCTCAAACACTGCGAGGTGCCGTGTGTTCGCTCTTGAGCTGCCAGTACTTACTGGGTTAGGTCTTGGCCACATTCAGCACACAAGCCTTTCATGACAACGGGGTGGCTACATCCTTCTAATCGCACCAGAACGGCTCTAGAAACAGGGATGAAAACAAGCACATTTGGAAAGGGAACTAGTACACTTCTGGCGGGAAAGGACAGCCCAGTTTCCAGCCCCCCAGGGACCCTCGCGTGACTCCAGGCAGGCCACATCAGCTCCTCTGGCTATCAAACCAAGGGCCTTTTCACCCATGGGTCTCTCTCACGTAAAACAACGAAACTGCAGACAACGCAGCTGAAAGAACTAAGGACGTCCTTCAGACTTGGGGATAACGTGCAAAGTGTCTCAAAATGCATTAACTATTGATACGCGATCCTCTTACATTTCTGATAAACAATTTATAAAAAGTGCAGCTTTGTCACGTCAACAAGGAACAACTTGGTATAACACCAGCGAGTAACACACGATTGTTACCTCTCAGTCTAGAGAGAGGCTTTGATTCATCTACGTTTTCTGACAGGACTACTGTAAAACTTGTACTTTTTATAAACACAGAAATTACTATTTTCTTTGTATGTTTCCATCAAACACTGGTCGCCTGGCAGCAGTCTTGGAAGGCAGCCAATTGGCATACGAAGCTAAAGGCTGTGTGATCAGAGCGCCCAGCGAGTCAGTGCCCCACAGGCCCAGGACGCAGTACCGTGGGGACTGTCAACCCTGCTGAGCCTTGCTCAGACCCCAGCACCGGGCCACAAGTCAGGCCAGAGTCCGTGCAGCAGGGCGTTTCCTCACAAAATCAGGCCACAAAACACAGACACTCTCCGCAGTCCAAAGAGTCAGGACCAGTCAGAGCCTCACCCCCAGTGATGGTTGTGCATCCCTTCTCCTGGCCCCAGCATACCTTGGAGGCCGCTGGGCTGCAAGTGATTGTCATGGGCTCACAGAGCTCCCCAACTGGTACCGCAAACCAGGGGGCAACACTCCTCCGCCACGCAGGAGCCTCTTTCTTCCCCTCCCTTCTGTCCTTACTGCTCACAACCAGTCACCCAGTACCCCTGGACAGTGCCCGGGGCCTCGGTATCCACAGTGTATCCGCAGCCTGGCTGCGGGCTCAGCCCCACATCACGGTGCTGGGTCCGATGGCAGGTGGCACCTCTTCCCCTCTGAGCTCTCCAGGAACACGCTCTGTCAGTCCATCCCCTCTCCCTGCGGCATGCTCTCCCCTGCCTCAACCCCACTTAAACCTCTACCTAAAAATCTGCCTCAATTTCCCCAATCTTAAATATACACAGGAATGGACAAATCCCCGCACCAGACCACACACAGCTCCCCTGAGCAACCTTCCCTTCCCTACGGCATCTGGTCAAGGACACCTCCTTGCTCCAGGCTGCCGCTGGCCGTGGCCTCTGGTGATCCCGTGCCAGGGGAGTCCTGCCCGGCTCGCTGTCCACCTCCTCTGGGCACCCTGTACTTCCTCAGCCTTCACCACTGAGTCTCGTGCCTCTGGTCCCAGAGCTGGCATTCGGGACCCTGGCTCCACTAGCCTTCTGCACTCACGTGGCTCCGCAGCACCCCATCCACACCAAAACCCTGCCCTCCACCTGGGCACCTCAAGTCCTTCGCCCAGACACGGTTCTTGCAGTTACTCAGTCCCACCGAGTCCCACACAGGAGCTCCTCTGCCTCTCTAATCCCACCCACTACTACCCTCAGTGGCCGCCTGGTATGGGTCTCTTGGTCCACCACATGCAGTACCTCCACCCCAGGCCTCACGAGGACGCCTCGCACAGCTCCTGCTGCAGTGAGGGCATACCGCAGTCCACGGGGTCTCACCCACCTTTCCAGACCCCCTTTCCAACCATCTGTCACTCAGACTCCATCCCCACCGGGGCCCTTCCTCGCCTGCCCTGCTCTCCCGCACGCATGAGGGGAAAGACGAGGCGAGACTGTCTGGGATTACACCAGCAGAGCCGGCAAAAAGACCCGAGGAGCTTTCCTGACAGTCATCAAAGGTGTATTTCGATCACTTGCTAATGGAGCCCATGGAGCATTTGTCAGTGGAGCTTGTGGGGCCCTCTGGAACCTGGTAAAAATCTGCTGTTTGCCCCTTGGCATGCTGGAGGTAGGTTTTACGAGAAACAGAGTAAGCTGGTTCATTCACCAACCTACAAGGTCTTAAAAGCGCTGATGCTGCTGACATTCTAATTACAGGCTCTGCTGACCTACTATCACGTAAGAACACGCAGGCCACAGAACACTGTAACGGAAGGACTCTGGGCTCAGGCGTGTGTGACCTGGTGGCTTGGCCTCGAGATGCCACCTCTCCTCTGCGGGCACAGCTGACAGCATGAGACACACAGACAGTTTGCCTTTTATTCACTTCATTTATTTTTAAACTAAAACTTACGGCTTGGGGGATATTTTCCCAGGATTCTGAAAAAATATACTAGGAGGATTTCACCAATCTCCCCTAAAAACATTAACCTGAAAGGACATTGGGTGTGTCTCCAGCTCAACCAACAACCCGCTGGGAGTGCTCCTTGACGTGCATGTTCCCAGCCTGTGGTCTGCCTTTTCATTTTCTTGAAGTATTTCTTGAACACCAGGTTTTTAACTTTGATGAAGCCCAATTTATCAAGTTTTTTGTGTCCTTATTAAGAAACCTTTGTCTTACCCAGGTCATTAAGATTCAACGGGAACCCAGAGTGGGTGGGGCCACTAATTCTAGATGACTAGCTCTACTTGAAGTGGAAGGAAGCTTCTAGGACAGCCCCAAATGAGCGACATCTGGGTCTTGACAAGTGACGGAAAGAGGAAGAGCCGTGGCCGGGGGCACAGGGGAGGTGCACCAGGCCTCAGGCTTCCCGGCTGAGAGCAGGACTGAGGGAGCAGCGGACTTGAGACCAGAGGTCCAGACGCGGAAGGCAGTATGAGGACCCACAGGAGGGCTCCACCGAGGGGCCTGGGCAGCAGGAGCGGGTGAGCAGACGCTGACTGGGCTGGCGGAGGTGGGAGGGGCCAGGGGATGCCTGAACCAGGTGGGAACGCAGACATTCCCACACACCCCTGGAACAAACCTACAGGCTGACGGCTGACCAGACACAGGCAAGGAGAGAGCACACAAACAGGAGCAAGATACAAACAAGACCAGCAAGTTCGGCTGGAAATGGAGCAAGGGAGGCATAGGCGCCTCAGCTGAATGCACACCGGATGTGGATGGGCCACAGACCCGACAGGCTGTGTGCCAGGCCAGGGCGTGACCGCCAAGGAGAAAACAGACAACAATGGGCCTTTGGGGAACCCCAACAATTAAGGGAGGGGCAGAAGAAAGAATGTCAATTAAAAAAAAAAAAATCAGTGCTCACAGAGGCTGCAGAGCCAGGCCCACAAGAGAAACAGGGAGGGGACATTTGAGGAAAAAAGGGAGCGTCAGTGTTCAACGCCCGCAGAGAAACCAGACGCCTGGACAGGGAGGGAGATGTCCACATCTTGACTGTGGGTTGCTGCTCCATACGCTCAATAAAACTCACCAAACTTAAAAGTCGGGCACTGCACCGGTTGATTACAAACAAACGAGGCCAAGGCCAACAGACTGGCGGTTGAGAGTTGCTGGTGACCTTCCAAAAAGGCCTTCTGGCAGAACCCACAGCAAGACACAGAGGAGCGCACAGGCCAGCTGCCAGGGGGCTGGTGCCGCTGTCCCTCCGCCCTCCATCCCCCGAACACCCATTCACTCAACACTGCTCTGTGGGACATCACCCCACCCGCAGCCAGCATCACACACAGGGCGGAAGCCCACGCAGAGCGCACACAAAGGCTAAGGTGGGGGTGTCACCCAGTGTGACAGCTGGAGTCAGGACAGCAGCAGCCCTTCTGTCACCGTGTAGACCCCTGGGGCCTCACTATGCCACTCCACGGTCACCATGACCCAGTGCTCGGCCAATGATGTGCCTCCAAGCACTGCTGGAGGTCCCCACCCTGCTCCTCACTACCCTTGCCTCATCCTTCTATCCGAAGGACCCAAGCGTCTTCCCACACCCAGGGCTACACCTCCTCCTGGAAGTCTTCTCAGCTCCCAGTGCCCTATGTGACACCTGGCAGCCCCTTCCCAATGCGATATAACTTGAAGACCCCCCAGACGCAGAGTCCTCGAGGGAGCAGGGATTTACGGCCCTGTTGTGTTTCTGAGACCCAGGGAGAGCCTGGCCGTCAGCAGGTACCCAGGGCAGGTGGGAGCGAGGACACACGTGCTGCCTAACCACAGTGTACACACTTGGCAATGCAGATCAAACACGTGCCTTTCTCTAAAACTCTTTCACGTACTGATTACATTACAAGTCATGTCATTTTCTGTGCTGGGGTCAAAAGGTCTGGCCTGTCTTATTCAACAGGGCAGATCAGGGCTCAGGCAGCTGCACGTGCTCCCACCGGGCCGCATCTAGTGACATCTTTGGTTGTCATAACTCAGAGGCAGGCTGCAGGCATCCAGCGGGTGGGGGTCAAGGATGCTAAGCCTCCTACCCTGCACAGGATGCCCCACAGCAAACCCCAGTGCAGATAACAGACAGATGGTGCTGGTTTATAAGCTTTTCCTGGTGGACTATCCAGAGCTACATGCAGCCTGAGTGTCCTCGACATTCTAGAGGCAACCGTCCCCAACAGGACAGTGATCAGTGACAGTCAGGCAACATCCAGAGGGAGGCCCCTGCTCATGAAAGATACACGGGACAACTCAAATTACCCAAAAGGACCTGAAGAGAGTGTTGAATGTTGAACCCTGACTTCACACAGAAACGAGCACTATGCCAAGCCTGCGAAGGTGTTCACTTCATCATGATGCTGTGGGACCATGGCCAGCAAGACATTTAAGCAACACATGAGTAACACACAGAGCAACTTGATCTCTCATAAGACGCCCTGTTTCAAGTAACATCTATTCTCCTTGACAGTCCTTGTCCCACATCACCCAATGTCTTGGTGGGCTCAGCACAGAACATGACCTAGGACAATAAGCACCTGCTCTCCCCAGATGCTTCTCCAAAGCCCACACTCAGCTGCATCGCCCCCACCTCCTGGGACTGAGCTCTTGAAGAC